GTGTGTGTGTGTGTGTGTGTGTGTGTGTGTGTGTGTGTGTGTGTGTGCGCGCGCTTCATGCATGTTTGCTCAAGAACAGGGTGACTCATATTGTGTGCGTGTGTGTGTTTGTATGTGTGTTAAAACCGGTGAAATCAGAGCACCATGCTGTCCCAGGCTCCCAGAACCTCATCTCTCAGCTCAGTGACTCATCTCATCCAGACTGAGGATGAATCTATCAATGCTGTTTCCCACTGAATGACTCGTCATGCCATCAGCACAGCCTGGGTTGTCTGGACTCGGACAGATAGTCTGAGGTCGAATCGAAGGAGAGAAGGAGTTGATTAACAGTCACCAGTCTTGCAGAGACCACATATGCTAAGTGTATCATGTATAGATTAGATTATTGGTTTCTCCCATAAAGGTAAAACCTTATCCTTTGGAAAACCGTTATTTTACTGAATAGAATGTCTCCATGTTTCTCTCCACGCTCTCCAGCCTTTCTCAGGTGACCAGATGGACGACTTCAGCAGTGAATTATTCAGCAGTTTTTTTGACGACCATCTATTAGAGCGGCCCCTTCTGGCAGACAGACCTTCGCCGTTACACATGGACATAGAGGACAGCAGCCCAGGTCAGCTCCTCTTTTATTGTGACAGGTCATTAAAAGAATATACACACACGCCACTTTCCTCACAGCTCCTCGCGGTGTTAATCATATTTTTTTTTTGCACCAGCAGTCGCTCCTTCCAATAACATTTCTCCAAAGTTCACAGTTATTGCCAATGCAGCTATAACAATCTCACAGCAGGTACATGTCGGTTGGTGGAACCCTTTCCAATCCCAAACCACTGCGCTTTTAGGCCCAAACAATAATACTAATCGTCACATTTGGATGACCATGTTTCCCCTGATAGCCTCCAGCAGTGCAGCAGCCAGTTGTTCCACTCAGCAGCCAATGTCTGAGTGGAAAAAAAACAACCCGATCTCATTATTTAGTTTGATTCAAAAAGCTAAAACTGCGGCTCAGTCTTCCCGATAGAGGATGAATTCCACCATATGAGAGCCAGTTTCTGTTGCCAAAGTCTGTGACTTCCAAAACTCCTGTTCCTCAACCATCTACCCCTCACCTCACAGGTAATGGGTCTGAAACTGTTGTCCGGCCAATCGGCATGCAGCACGACAACAAATCAGCGTCTTTAACAAAACGATTGGAGAAAGGGATAAAAAAAAAAAAAAACATGATTTTCAGGCGATATTTACATTTTCTAGCGTGTGTGAATAGAGCCGTGAGGAACATTTACGTGACCCCTGGATGAGCAATACACGGCACTCATTTAACAGCTTGATGAGCACAGCAATGTTACGTTTTCCATGTCTGAAAAAAAGGGCTTTTGAACCTCACAGATATTCAAGCAGAACACAGCTACTCTTTAAGCGAAGACTCCGCCCCCCAGAGCCCAGCCCTGTCAATCCAAATGGACCATGAGTCTGGTAGGTCATCCTATTCCTTAAAAAACAATCTTATCTTAGTTTCTAACTATTTAGAGAAGAGCGCACAGCCAATCAAAACTCTGCTGCTGATGTTGAGTCTGGTTCCTTATCGTCTTGGCTCAGTGGCTGCATGATGTCATGCTTAACGTTCAGTTTGACCCCCGTCTGTCAAATAGTATACACCCTGATTGGCTGAAACCGCTGTCTGACATATAATATGTGTGATGATGGGCTTAATCCATATCTATTATATTTAATGTAAGAGGTGCTTGCAGAGACAAGTGTCTACTGCAGCACAGTATATGAATCCTGCACGTTTCTGTGTTGCTCTCAGACTCATCCGCCTCATTATCGCCACCTGTGTCTGTGTCTCTACCTGTCTGTCTCACTGTCTGCATGCTGTCTGTTCTCCATTTGTCCCAGGGATCCTGCTATCTGAGCGGCAGGATCCCTGTCTGAGCAGCTTTCCTCCAGCTAAGCCCTGCCCACCTAACACACACACACACACACACACACGGACTCACACACGGACTCAAACAACGCTATGACAAGCATATGGTTTTGAGTCTGCAGCTTTAGCCGAAGCCAGCGGAAACTCTCTCTTTTGTCAGGTTATCTCTCTCTCTCTCTCCCTCTCTCTTCTTCCTGTCTATATCTTTCTCACTCGCTTACTTCTGTTTTCTATCCCTCTCCTTCTCTTTTTTTTCCCTTAATCCAATTAAATCCGCTGCTTCATTGGTGTGGATATCAGATTACACGGATTTCCAGAATACCAAAAGAAAAGTCTATCTCGCGTCTAAAACGACTTTTATGTTTCCACTTAAATGCTGTGAGCTACAATATTAACACAGATCATATTTTGCTCTTTAGAGAGAATACAATTACGGCGGAGTAAATCAATCGAATTAGAATCAAACCGAACGTATAGGCATTAGTTAGAATGTAAAGTTACGCTCACGCCAAAGCAAACAGGACGACATATTAAACCACAAACCATCAACATAATATATGACCTCATGAAACAAAACATTTAGACAGCTTTGATTTCAATGTAGTTTATATATTTCAATAGTTTCTCGTTCATTGCCTCCATGTGTTGCTGCATAGCTGTCTCAGGCTCACATATGGAGGACACACACACACACACACATCGTATGTATTTAAATCTATTCCAGGATATTTGATGTTGAACTTAATCCAAAATTAATTTCACAACCTGTATCTGCTCCACAAAGCCTGGCTAAAAACCGTTGGGATACTTTCTTTCCACCAATGTTACATCTCTGCTTTGTATATATATATATATATATATATATATATATACTGTATATTATATACTGTATACATACATATACATACATACATATACATATACATACATATATATACATATATATGTATATACACATATATACACATATATATATATACACACATATATATACACACATATATATATATATATATATATATACACACACACACACAGTTGTGTGAAAAAGTGTTTGTCACACTTAAATGTTTCAGATCATCAAACAAATTTAAATATTGGACAAAGATAACACAAGTAAACACAAAATGCAGTTTTTAAATGAAGGTTTTTATTATTAAGGGGGAAAAAAAAAATCCAAACCTACATGGCCCTGTGTGAAAAAGTGATTGCCCCCCCCCCTGTTAAAACATAAATTAACTGTGGTTTATCACATCTTTGGAAAGCTGAGTTCAATTTCTCTAGCCACACCCAGGCCTGATTACTGCCACACCTGTTCTCAATCAAGAAATCACTTCAATAGGACCTGCCTGACAAAGTGAGGTAGACCAAAAGATCCTCAAAAGCTAGACATCATGCTGCGATCCAAAGAAATTCAGGAACAAATGAGAAACAAAGTAATTGAGATCTATCAGTCTGGAAAAGGTTACAAAGCCATTTCTAAAGCTTTGGGACTCCAGCGAACCACAGTGAGAGCCATTATCCACAAATGGCAAAAACATGGAACAGTGGTGAACCTTCCCAGGAGTGGCCGGCCGACCAAAATTACCCCAAGAGCGCAGCGACGACTCATCCAAGAGGTCACAAAAGACCCCAGAACAACATCCAAAGAACTGCAGGCCTCACTTGCCTCAATTAAGGTCAGTGTTCATGACTCCACCATAAGAAAGAGACTGGGCAAAAATGGCCTGCATGGCAGAGTTCCAAGACGAAAACCACTGCTGAGCAAAAAGAACATAAAGGCTCGTCTCAGTTTTGCCAGAAAACATCTTGATGATCCCCAAGACTTTTGGGAAAATACTCTGTGGACTGACGAGACAAAAGTTGAACTTTTTGGAAGGTGTATGTCCCATTACATCTGGCGTAAAAGTAACACGGCATTTCAGAAAAGGAACATCATACC